GTATCTGTATCTGTATCTGTATCTGTATCTGTATCTGTATCTGTATCTGTATATGAATAAAGAGTATCTTGCAGTCGTGAGCTGTCAGCTTCCGCATGCTTTATATGTATCTGCATCTGGATATCTGTATCTAGAGCTTCAGTTGTCGTTGTATCTGTATCTGTGGCTCCGTTAGCTGACAGTGCACTGTTATTGCTTCAAGTGGCTTCATTCATTGCATGTCTCTTCTCTGTCTGTGCTCTGTGCTCTTTGCAGCTGGTAAAAAAAAAAAAAACTAATACTGACGCCGCGCCACGTCAGGCACGACAATGAGCTGACTATTTAATGTCCTAGCAACAGACACCGTACCCCTTGCGTCCCGCCTCTAGCTAGTCACTCGAAAACAAGAGCAACCTTTATTAGCAAAAAGTTTTGTCGGTCTTAGCCAAGAAAAAGAGCCGTTGGCTGTTTTTTGTCCAATAGACGAAAGGGTTTCTATTTATTAGCCAACTGAGTTCCTGTCTGTGACTATTGCTATCTCTTTGGCGCATCAAGGACCAGCCATAGAAGGGGGTCATGAGCAGATTAGGCTGCCAAAGACAACTGCTGTGTGGGTGGGGCCGACAGACGGCATATTGTCGGCTTAGCCTGAGCATTAGGGACAGCACTATAGCTGGACTGCCACAGCAGTTTGTACTCAAAAGCTAATTTAAGCAATCGCTGTATAACTTAATTACAGCGAGTCTCATATATATTAGTATTGAAAGACCCCAGAGGATTATATGAAAGTATTCGCATGCTGCAATACATAAAATGAAGATACCCAAAATAATACTTATAATAAACTACTGTCTATATGTGAAGTATTTTGAGTTTGTACATCACTGTTATATATCAAAAGATATTCTATTATTCCGCACAGCTTCATTGGCAGATGTTTGTTAACTTCCATTGTAATCAAGCCACAACATTACAGCAAAGGCAAATGAGGCTAATTCTTGTATAACTCATTGGCAACTGCAGCTGGAACTCGAATTTGCTGTTGATGCCACAGAACTGGCTGTG